CCTCTTTCAGCCAATTCAGGAACCACACAACTTCATTAATTATTCAATGACATCTGGCTAGTGCGGAGACCAACTTTCGTTTGAATACTTTACCTGTAACCGCTAGGCTCCGGTATCACAGCAAATCTGTTCAAGATGTCGCATGATATACTCCACCGCTGCCGGCAAGAACTGAATGGCAGTACGGGTAAGGCTGATTGTAACCCGATCAAACCATAAAATTGACGAAATAAGGAGGGGGAGGCATATCAAAATCGACACTGCTTTTGTGATGAGATCGAATACTGTACAGCTGGTACTAGACCGGCCTTGCACGGGCGATATGAACGAACAAAATGCTAAACAATTACGGTGGAGTATGGAACAGATAAGGCAAGGGCGGGCTCGTTATGGGGAGTTGTCCAGCAGGTCGGAAAATACTCTGCCAGGCAACATATACAAGTGTAGCGCAGAAAAGGTTGTAGCTTGTATGTAGTTCAAACTGAGGTCTTTACAGCCATCAAAACATAAGGCTGGAATCAACAAAATATCGGAACAATGTAGCCATGGCTTCAAATCAAAAATCACTATGTACCAACTAAAAAGTATAAAAGGTAAATTAGTTCACATGTTCTTACAAGCCCTCTCCGAGTTCCAGAAAGGTAGGGAAACCTAAATCACGGAGTATAGCACGCGACTAGGTGATTGAAATTACCAACGACGAATTCGACTACAGGTGACTTCACGCATATATGGGGCTCAGTCCAAGTCAACAAATTAGGTGGTCTGATGGAACTGCAATTCACACCACGTTACTGACTACTCCATAAGTACGGAACAAAGATGATGCATCATGTATGTGTGCGTATGTGTAACCAATGGAACGTGCAGTCGTAAATTCAAGGAAGCGAGCACGCTACCCAAACTGCAATTGGTACAAACAAAAATAACCACTCACTCAGAATCTAAACAAGCCAGACGATTGATCGCATCCTCCGGACGATCCCAATCCCGTTGCACAAACGCGATGTTCTGGTAACCCAACCTTTCATGTGCCAGTATGCCGAAGATGTAATTTAAAATCCAATGAGACGGTTTGTCGGTTATCTCCAAAGTTAAATTCAAACTACGATTATTGAAGTGAAACGTTCGATTCCAGGAGGGGGTTTCTACGACAGAGACAAAATTCACAAGGGCGATGGTAGATAAGGAAATCATAACAGCTGTCCGGATTTCAATGATGCCACCGACCTTTCTACAGTGATGATGGCATTCATCATACTTTACATAATTTATATACATTTTAACTAACATACCTTAATTATTAGATAAGTGCTCGTTACACCTCTGGATTTCCCTATTCTCAATCTGCGACTGACTGTGCATAACAATCCACCTGCTCAATATGGATCATTCTATTATCCAGTCTAAGTGTGTGGATATCCACCCGGACGTACCAGACACAATCAGACGATAGAACCACTGGGTTAGTACTCTGGATATTGACCTCAAAGACAGCAAATGTTCACCTCGATAAACTGAACTTCATCAATGTACTTGTTAACAATCGTCAAAGAAACACTGGTGAAAATCTACCTCAAACCTCAAAACGTAGTAGATACCGGACACACACACACACCCAACGATAACAAAAAAGAAAACCGACAATATGTTGCTCAGTTCGTCCAAAAACTTAAACTTCTGGCAAGGCATTTCAAAGCAACAGACGAACAAATCCAAAAGCGATGCGCTTGTTTCAGGACTGCAGTTCTCAACCATACAAGAGAAGCTTCTTGCAAGATATGAATTGAGGCTTGATGAGGCACAAGAACTTTCTAGATCTCTTGAGCTGGCTCACAAAAAAACCGGTTATGTACAAATGATTAACTACTACCTTGCTGTTCGATTCTACTTAGCACGGNCACGGTTGTACTTTTAGTATCTCCCGCACCATCCAACAAATCTATTCCGGCAGCTACTGGATGAACATGGAAGAAGGTACACGGTTAATGGCTGCAAAAACTGAAACTTGTTAATCGAAACCCGCAAAAAAAATCACCCAGATTTTCAATCCTCGATTCCTTTTTTACTCCAGTACATTCTTAACCACAGCCCCACATTGTTCGTCATGCAGTTCCTACTATCCTTGTTAACGGAATGCCTCTTCAAGGACTGATGGTCACCGGCAGTTCTAGAAGCAACATTTCTTCTTTCTTTTCATTTTACTTTCTTCTATTCAATATGCAATGATACAATTTTCAGGAAGGAGGAAGCGGGCCAATCAAAGGGCCATTCAACACAATGATAGAAGTCAGGCAGTGGTGGCTGGATTCGAACACAATTCTCCGGGGTGATAATTTGGTGACGTTACCACTGAGCCACCACCACTAACTGGAACTTCACCTCATAGATACCAAAATAACGAAGGCGTCGATCTCACTGTCCCGCTGCACCACGGACAACTGATCCTTGTCTACCTAGTACAAACATGATGAACAAACTCACGAAATTACCAAATGTGTTCCCATGCGTAACTTGGGAATGATTTTCTTGGCCTCCATGATAAAATCGAGATCCAATTGGCGAGTTGGCAGAGCGCTTTCTATCTAGGCGGTTTGCTTGATGCTAAAATAGAACCAACAGTGTTTTTTCCAAATTGTCCCTGAACTGCAGACCAATCGAGGAGTCACACCAGAAGACGGACAGCTTCTACATCTCGAAGTTGATCGCTTACGCAGAGATGGGTATCGCTGCATCCTCGACCTCCTCGTGGACCGATGGTCGAGACAAAGAACGCTAATCAATTCAACCACCTCGTTGCGTACTCTTTGCACCGGAAAACACCTCACGCTATGTACCATGCAGCACGTTTGACCTCATGAGCATCTACTACCAAGTCTCGGTAGCTGAGGCTGAAACCCCGTTTACGCTCTTTGAGGCATGTGACGCGTTCCCTTCGGTGTGACAGTGTCGTCTGCTTTCAACGTGCAATCCAAAAAAGAATAAAGACGAAGGTATTCAGGAGTCATTCGCTGACATTGATAAAGTTATGATCTGGGGACAAACCTTAGACGAACGTGACCATAATCTTGAAACGTTTCTCCAGACAGTTACACGACACGGTATTACTCGTAAAACAAACGTCTTACACCCTGCAAAGAAATCCATCTGTTAGGATTACTAGTCTGTAATGGGGTAATTAAATCCAACATCGAAATAACGCGACACGCGCAGGAGCTTCCAACCCGTGATGCTGATGCGCAACGGGTAGGGGTAATGTTTGCCTACTATTCATACTGGATTCCATACTTTTCTGAAAAGATCAACCCATTGGTAAAAACAGACCATTCCCAATTCAAGAAGACTGGAGTTGCATTGGAAACATTCAAGAAGGATATTGAGAAAGCTATTGTCGTAAAAATGGACGATGGAGCGCAAAAAGACAAGATAAAGGACAAAATCCGAATTTAACTACGTAGTATACGGACAAGGCGAAGACAATAAAGGAGCAGACACTGGCGTAACGTCAGTGCAACAATTACCGACATTGTCACCCGGGCATCACCAGGACGATTTGTTCTGTCCGGTCCAAGAATCTACCACTCTCCGTCGATGATGTCCAACGAGTTACATTCACCTGCCGAACTTAAACCCAGATTCTAGACGATTGATCAAAGTCACGCAACGCTCCGAAGGATTGAGTATTGGTTTTAAGGGTCCCTTACAGTGGCATAGTAATAACTTGAATATTTTGACATTTGTTGAAGAATATTTCCGTTTCCGTTTGCCTTCCTCTGTTTCGATAGAAATGAATCCAGATACACACTTTGTTAATGGTTCTCTACCTTTGACATGTTCGCGTTCTTACATCTCAATAGAGGAACGACATTCATGTTTACAGAATTGATCAAAGTGCACCCCATAGAACCTACACTGCCACCAATCCAGATTATTCGACTATACTAACACAACCGAATGTATTATCTTTAATAACAACCGGAGGAAATGTAATACATTACATTTTAAGTACCCTATCTTCACATGTTAACCACAATACTCACTTTTCATCCTCTCGGTTTTCCTAATTTCAATCTACGATTGCCTATGCATAATACTTCCCTATTAGCCTTGAGTTAGCCTCAGAAACGTTTCTGAAACTGACTGTACATTTGTAAGGCGATGAAAAAGGAAATGCATTATCAGAAAAATCTGTCAGACAGATTCGTATACCTTCAGGCGCAAGACAGCGTCTGTGCTCCAAATTTGGTTCCACGATGAAGCTTGTGACACGAATTGTTAAGAGCAGCAACATGAACCAGAAGCGAAGGCACATGGAGCTATAGAACATGGAGGTGCGCAGTGGCTGTCAACCAATTTCTCTGGGAGAAACGAAGATCAGCATTGCACGCGCACCTTCCACATACACAGGGTTCTCATGCTTGATGCAATTGTGGACGATGGGGACAGTGGAATGGTCGTGCCAAATGACAATGGCGCGCTGCAAAAGAGTGACATAAAATCATGTGACTAGCGCCGAAAATATATGCGATCAAGTGAATGCAAGGCAGAAAATTAGTAACTTTTCAATCATTAAAACAAAAATGTATCCGTATACAACGGTATCGGCAGATAAATTCAAACGGTAAAATCAATGATCAACCCGAGTAAGTGTGTTTAGCTGACGAACACGTTATAGATAAGCGCGCTATTGACGAATAATCATAAGTGCGTATTACAATCCGTTGACTAAGGCTTTTAGGGAAGATCTCGTTATTCAAGTTTAATATAAGATAATCACTACATAAACTAAAGTATATATATATATATATATCTATTTCACACTTGTCTGAGGACAGACTGTGTGCCAAACAAATCATGGTACAATAATCTTTATACAAAAAAAAATGTTCCATGATTGGCTTGTGGGCTGAGTACTGCCAGGTTGCCCAGGCCAAGGCAGGTGAATTCTCTTGAGGAATCCACAACCGGGGCCTTCGGCTAGCCAAAGGCTGACACGCAAGGCAGCGGGGCGGTGTGCGAAAACCGCAGTCCATTGGGAGCCGGTGTCCAGTTCATCGGATCATACGCCCTTCGGACGGGGTCAGGTGCCCAATACACCTCAATGCCCAATCGAGCCGGTGACCACTGCCACAACCGAAAAG